CAGATTCATTCCTTAATGAGTGAGAAGGAATAGAGTTCGTATGGGCTGGCTAAATATACCATAGTGTTAAAAATTGCCAGTTGTTCTTTAAACCAGCAACTGCAAGACATTTTTAAGTTTTCCTAGTTATTACAGAATACAAAAATAAAAGTTTTTCTTCTATATTCTCCAATTTTAAGATAAAAGCTAGAATGTTCAAAAAGTGTTTGAATTTATTCAGCTGTTCCCGTAGTTTCGTATTTCATGAGTAACTGTTACACTGCATATGTTTCAGTATGAGGGGGTTAAAGCTGTCTGACAGTCTGCTTAACATTATTATTCCAGTATCTGAATGCTTGTTCAAATCCTCAATCATCATTTGTTGACAAGCTGCTAAATTCAGATTGACAGCTCAATTTTTTGAAACACAACAGTTGCTGGTATTTTAAAGGTCAATACACAAACAGACTGCTTCTCCTCTAGACATGTACATGAACTAAAAATGGTGTTAAGTCTTTAAAAGACCAGTATTCAGGGGACAGGTAATGGGATACAAAGTATCTTTCAACCCTAGATCACAGGTACAAAGTCAACTTAGTTTGATCATGACCAAAAATCATTGCTATCTTATGGATGTTTGTTTATTAGCCTATCAAAAAAAATCTCTTTTCTAGTAGATAGAATCATAGAATCATAGGACTGGAAGGGATCTCGAGAGGTCATTGAGTCCAGCCCCCCGCCCTCAAGGCAGGACCAAGCTCCGTCTACACCATCCCTGACAGATGTCTATCTAACCTGTTCTTAAATATCTCCAGAGAGGGAGATTCCACCACCTCCCTTGGCAATTTATTCCAATATTTGACCACCCTGACAGTTAGGAATGTTTTCCTAATGTCCAATCTAAACCTCCCCTGCTGCACTTTAAGCCCATTACTCCATGTCCTGTCCTCAGAAACCAAGAGGAACAAATTTTCTCCTTCCTCCTTGTGACACCCTTTTAGATATTTGAAAACCACTATCATGTCCCCCCTTAATCTTCTTTTTTCCAAACTAAACAAGCCCAGTTCATGAAGCCTGGCTTCATAGGCTTCTCTAGACCTTTAATCATTCTTGTCACTCTTCTCTGTACCCTTTCCAATTTCTCCACATCTTTCTTGAAATGTGGCGCCCAGAACTGGACACAGTACTCCAGCTGAGGCCTAACTAGTGCAGAATAGAGCGGCAGAATGACTTCACGAGTTTTGCTTACAACACACCTGTTGATACAACCTAGAATCATATTTGCTTTTTTGGCAACAGCATCACACTGTTGACTCATATTCAACTTGTGGTCCACTATGACCCCTAGATCCCTTTCCGCCATGCTCCTTCCTAGACAGTCGCTTCCCATCTTGTATGTATGGAACTGATTGTTCCTTCCTAAGTGGAGCACTCTGCATTTCTCCTTATTAAACCTCATCCTGTTTACCTCCGACCATTTCTCTAACTTGCTAAGGTCATTTTGAATTATGTCCCTATCCTCCAAAGAAGTTGCAACCCCACCCAGTTTGGTATCATCTGCAAACTTAATAAGAGTACTCTCTATCCCAATATCTACATCATTGATGAAGATATTGAACAGTACGGGTCCCAAAACAGACCCTTGAGGAACTCCACTTGTTATCCCTTTCCAGCAGGATTTAGAACCGTTAACAACAACTCTCTGACTACGGTTATCCAGCCAATTATGCACCCACCTTATCGTGGCCCTATCTAAGTTATATTTGCCTAGTTTATCAATAAGAATATCATGCGAGACCGTATCAAATGCCTTACTAAAGTCTAGGTATATGACATCCACCGCTTCTCCCTTATCCACAAGGCTCGTTATCTTATCAAAGAAAGCTATCAGATTAGTTTGGCATGACTTGTTCTTCACAAACCCATGCTGGCTATTCCCTATCACTTTATTACCTTCCAAGTGTTTGCATATGATTTCCTTAATTACCTGCTCCATTATCTAAGTGACCACATCAAAACCATCCTTATATATGGGACCCTGTGATTCAATGATCATCTCCATTGAATGACTAAGCACTAAAAGAGCAGAGAGATAAGTCTGACTACAGTAGCTTCGTATGTCACTTCATTGTCATATGAATCAGTGTCAATATTTAGCTTAATTCCTTTGTACAAGATTGTCATCAAGTGTATAAAGAACAGGACAAAAAATAATATGGAAAAGATTATTACACCATTATAAAATTGATGGTACACTTCAGGTGGAATATTGAGTTCAGTTCTGGTTACCCCACCTAAAAAAAGATACTGCAAAAACTGAAGAGATCCAGAGAGTCCACAAAAATGATCTGAAGCATGGAAAGACTTCCACATGAGGAGACTCTTTAGTTTATTGGAGAGATGAATATGAATGGTCTGGAAGAGGTATATAAAATGATGAATCTTATAAATTGTGGGTTCTTGGCCCGGGGCTCATGATCCTCAAGAATAGCTGCAAACTGCTTTAAGGGTGTTGTGAAAAATATTATCTTTATAGTTAAATTAAAGGGAGTTGAGTAATGTGGGGATCCTGAAACCTTTTTCTGTTGTAACAAGGGCACAAGGTATGGAAAAACTGAGAACCACTGGTGTAGAATGCTGTTATTCAATCTCTCTTTAGAAGAGTGCAGGATAGCCAATGAAATTGAAAGGTAACAAATTTTAAAATGGTAAAAGGACAAACATATAAACACTAGGCTCCATATTAACATTCTTTCACTGAATGGCGCTAAAATGGGCATCTTCATAATGTTCTATGGAAGAGAAGCACCTCTCATGGAGCTTTTAGCTAATCTATATCTTTTACCGATTATGTCCATAATTTTGCTGTCATTTTTTACCTTTAAAATTCATTATTAGTTCTTATAGTGCTATAACTGCATGCCTGCATATCATTTCTACAACATAGCCTCCCATTGGCTTCTGTCTTGATACTCACTCTGGTTGCTCACTCATCACATCATTTGAGTACTGTACCTCCTTCCCGCTATGGTTTCCCAAAGTCATTCATATCTATCCATCTGTCTTTTTGTAATACCGTAAAATCTCGAGTATCATGAACACGTATGCATAATGCGCACCTATCTTTTAAACATCAGAATCCCAGCATAAACTGAACTCTTATCTATAATGCACACCCCCATTATACTCGCGATTGTACGGTGTACATATAGGAAGGAAGGCGCCTCTCCCACCTGCAGGCTCACCCGGAAATGTGTGCAGCCCTGGGAGCTGCACCTGCTGCGGGGCCCCTGGCCCTCCTCCCCCGCCCAGCTGTTCATGCCGACACCGGGCAGGCAGTGAGCCAGGGTGCTCCTCACCTTGGTCGGGAGCCTGGCTGAGCTCGCGCCTGCTGCAGGGGCCCCCTGCCCAGCTGAGCTCGTGCCGCTCGGAGCTCGCGCCTGCCGCGGGGCCCCTTGCCTCTCCCCCCCAGCTTCCCCACCCACCAGCTCCTCACCTTGTCCGGGAGCCTGGCTGAGCTCACGCCTGCTGTGGGGGTGCCCTGCCCAGCTGCCAGCCAGCCGCGCTGACCTCGCGCCTGCTGCGGGGGCCCCCTGCACAGCTGCCCGCGTGCCATGCCTTGTCCAGGAGCCTGGTGGGGAGGGTGAGTTAAAAACTTTACAGATGACCTATGTATAATGTGCACCCCGGCTTTAACCCTTAAAGACTGGGGAAAAAAGTGCATGTTATACTCGCAATTTTACGGTAAGCTTGATAACTCAGAGCTAAAAACACAACTTGTCCTGAAAAGCTTTTCACTGGCCTCCAAATAAGTCCTCATTCATTAAGAAACGTCTTTCATCGTCAAGGATTTTCATAGCCATGGTCCTATTAATTTCTCTCTGAATTCCCAATTACTCTGTCAGCTTGATCATCCTTTCAGACCCCCACTTTCCATCTCTACTCTCCAGTTTGAGGTCAATCCCTTTTTATGCCACTGCACTAGCTATCACAGTGTGTTCATCAGCTAGCTATTAATATGACATTCATCACCTTGATACCATTCTCTACTTCATGGACATAATTGTCTTTGAAATGCATCTTAAAACCTACCTCTTCTTTGCAGTATTCAACAGTCTTCCAATTCTGGATAGTTCCATGCACTGGTGAATGTTTCCATCATTTAATGAATCTTCCTGTGTCTTGTTTCTACATATGTAAACTAATTATAGTACTGTACTAAGTATATAGTATAGTACTAAATATAGTACAGTGTCCATTGTTGTAGCTGTTGTGCTTTATGAAATACATTGTTTATGAAAGACATAAAACAATATGAATCTGTAGCTCAAGTATTATCTACATTTGCATAGATTCATAGAATCATAGAATACTGGAACTGGAAGGGATCTTGAGAGATCATCAAGTCCAGTCCCCTGCCCTCTCAGCAGGACCAAGCACCGTCTACATCAGGGGTTCCCAACCTGGGGTATGCATACCCCCAGGGGATACGAGAAGCTTGTCAAGCAGGTACGGGGAATATTCGGTAAATAACTAGATTATCCTAATTGAAATATTCCAAAAGTAGTAATGTTAGTGAAAGAAGTTGTGGATTCTAGAGTCTAGGATTTATTTCCTTTCATATTGAATAGGGGGTATGGGAAGGTTTACTAAAAACCAAGGGAGCACGGGGACTGAAAAAGGTTGGGAACTCCTGGTCTACATCATCCCTGATAGATGTCTATGTAATCTGCTCTTGAATATCTCCAGTGATGGAAATGCCACAACCTCCCTAAGCAATTTACTCCAATGTTTAACCACCCTGACAGTTAGGAAGTTTTTCCTAATGTTCAACTTAAATAGAATCATAGAAGATTCTGCCACCCCTGCTAAAACTGTTTGTTTCCTTACTCTGCGAGTAGCCTGGTGCAATTAATAGGAATATTTGTGGAATAAGGTACAAATTAACACAAGTATGAGTTACAGAAACTGACCCTTTGAAAAAGGGGCTCTTTCTGTGTATTTAATTTTTATTTCTCTGTTATATTTTATTAGATTATATCAGATACCAAATTAAGTGTGTATCTACTGGAGCAAAAGTAACAAAAATGTTGCACATCACTTGTTTTCTTGTAGTATTCAGAGCAGACATACAAAATAACAGAAAGACTATCAAGCAAATCTACAGTTCTAATGTTATCCCAGCTACAGCCCTCAAGAAATTTTAACCATATTTCTCAGCTGTCATTATGAAAACTAACATATTAGTGCAACAACAAAAAACCTACCCTAATATTGCAGAGAGTTGCTCACAGGCGTACACAAGTCAATAAGGCTGCTTGCATTAATCAGAATTGTGTGTGTTATTAAGCATGTGCAGGTCTGGGCTCAAGTGTAGCATAAATAAAGAAAACATATACTTATATCTATATATAAAAAAATGTTTCCTGAGGGACAGAGTGATTTCATCACATCACTCTGTATCCACAGAAGCCAAAACCCACCCACTCGCAGCCATCCCCCTACAGGGCCCACGTGGAGAACTGGGACTGCTGCACTGTGGCCCCAGCCCTCCTCAAGGGCCAGAGGCAAGAGCTGGGGCTGCCACTTTGAGACCTTGGCCCGGCCCTTCCCAGCAGCTGGGTGGGAGGGCGAGAGACAAGGCTGGTGAAGCTCTGGCCCTCCCCAGGGGCTGAGGAGAAAGCTGGGGCTGCCTACACCCAGAGAAAGGGAAGTTGATGAGTGTAGTGAGCAGTGGGTGCAGCCCCCTAGTATTAACTAATCAGAAATATTGAAAAAATTAAAATTAATTTGATAATGCTAGTGATCTAGTCAAGTTTCCTAGGTTCATACATAATGCTTATTGTTCTATGAAGCTATTATAAAAAACTTAAACTGTTTACATTGAAAGTATCAAAAACATTAACTCATTTAAATAGATTGCACTGCCTAGTATATGGCTGACAGATTCTGAAGGCAGTGCTGCTGCAAGTAGCAATTCAGAAGTAAGGATGATAATACTCCTCTTCCCCTCAAAGGCCTTTTGGCCCCCTTTTGTGTCAGGACCCCCATTTTGAGAAACAATGGTCTCTCCCATTTATTTACTGTGTGCATAGTCGTCTTGCCACACAATAGTATGTTCTGTGGGCAAAAGCACACAAATGATCAGATTTCGGTCTGTGACATGTTTTTTCACAGCCATGAATTTGGTAGGGTCCTAATAATAGTCATGATTAATAATAACAGTAAATGAATGAGAATTATCTAAACTCTCATACACCTTTTATTTATTTTTTCCTAAATACTAAATTGGAAATGGAGAATATTAAGAATATAGAATTAGACCAAAAATCTTAAGACTTCATCTGGGGTAATTTTATCTTTTATCTGAACAAGACAAGAACATATAATACAGAGATACTCTCAAGTTAAAATATTTTAAAACAAACAAATGTCTTTACTTGTGTTACTAATGTCATATTGAATTACAGGTTGGACCTCCCTGGTCTGGCTCCTTCAGGACCTGACTGGTTCAGAACAAGGGAGTTTGCTAGACCAAGGGAGGTCAGGCTTCCAGGATCTGTGTGCGCCAGTCTCCCTGCTCTGCTGACACTCCACTCAACTGCACCCAGCCTGCCAGCCCTACAGGCTCTGCTATCTCCAGCTCCACCAGCCCTGCTACCATGGGCTCCGCTATCCCCAGCTCTGCTTGCCCACTGCTCGCTGGCTCCACTGCTCCCAACTCTGGCCACCCCATGGGCTCTGCTGCCCCCAGCCCCACTGGCCCCGTTGCCCCCGACTCTGTCAGTTCTGTGGGTTACACTACCCACAAACTCTCCCGGCTCCACTGCCCCTCATCCCTGTGGGCTCTGCTGTCCACCAGCCCCATGGGTTCTGCGGGCTCTGCTGTCCCTGGTCCTGCAGACTTCCCTGTCCCCAGCCCCACAAACCCTGCAGATAGTCAGCCTGCAGGATTGGTTCAACTGCCAGCAGCCTCTACCACTGGCACTCTCTGATCCAGGGGCTCTCTGGTCTGGAACATCTGTGATCATGGACCAGAGAGGTTCAGCCTATATTAGATTTAAATAATTTTTTAAGTCTAACCTCTCAAAGTTTTTTCTTGTTTAATCTTTGCATTTCATTTAACAAACACAATAAAAATCGACTCATCACTTTCATTATCTGGTTCTCGGTTACTGTTTTTATATTCTGGTTCTTGTTCACTAGCACAACATTGTACTCTGTGGGTTGCAAATCCTGAAGGAAAATGTTTAAATCCAAACAAAAACTGTTTACACTGAAATTTCCACTCTAACAATTTCATGAAAACATTTCTGTTTTTGCTAACCCTTCTTTTAACAATTTCTACAATCTGGGCCTAAGCCTATACATCAGTGTCACTTTCAATAATATCTCATGAATGGAAATGTACTATCAAAACTTTTATATGAAGACAGTTCAGTTCCACAACAGATCTAAAATAGCTTCAGCATATTTACTCTGTCACACCATATGTGACACTGTGGTCTCCACAACAAAACCTTTACACACTGAAGTCATTATCTCTACAAAGTCTGCAACTGGCATTTAAAACTTATTGATGACCTGGGTATTGGTGGCTCAGTAGGTAGCCCTCTTGCCTGAGGCTCCTAAGGTCACAGGTTCACAGCCTGCTTAGGGAAAAAAGCTGGACATAGTCCAGAATTGTGTGTGGCCTGTGCTAAACTCCTGGACAGACAGTCCTTAGGATAGTTAGTGAAACCCTGTCTGTTTTGTACATAGCAAAGTTCTTATGAAAGAATAAGTAAGAAATGTAAGTTTAATATGCCTGGAGCAAATGAGTGTACTTGTTGAAGATCCTGCATTCAACTATGTAAGCAGAGGATGGTATAAGAATAACAAAACCTCCACATTTTTGAACTTCTTAACAAATCATTTCTTTGTTTAAGGCATGTTTGCAATAGACATGTTCAAAGACATCACTAAATGTGATCATCATTAACTGATTTCTTTAAACTTGCTGGACTGACCTGGGATTCAGTTTCACACTGTGGGGCTGTGAAAAATGTATGCATCATTTGGGTAAGTGGGGATTTTAAACAAGGAATTTTTAAACTGGCAAAAAACTCACATGATGTAATCTGTCTGATGACATTACAATACGCGCCAAGGGAAAATCATCAGCAAATATTTAAATCAGTATTGGCAACTGATTTAGAAAACAATATAAAATTAAGATTCAACCTGCTCTTGTGTTAAACTTTGATATGTGGTTATCCCAGATGTCTCACTCCTCCTGCTCCTCTTTATAGACAGGTAAAGATGGATCTCTTGAAGGAACTGGGAATCACACTCTAGGCAAAGGTTGGACAGGTGATCAATGTACAGCGCGAGATTTGCCGTGGCTATGTGCCTCCAACAGTGGCAGGATCATCTAGTTTAAAAAGACAACACATTCAAAATTATAATCTTTTATTTGAAATATGTATAAGGGAAAAACAAGTGTGTGTGTGAGGGGAGGGCGGCTGGGAGAAATGGTGTATTTGTACAACCAGAAATATATCTGGATGATAAAACTTCTTGTCATATTTTAATTAGTATATCTGAAATTTAATTTATTTTCCTTTCTCTTCACTCTGTTGCCTTAGTGATTTATCTCAAGAGTCAGGATTTAATGGCCAGAATCCCAGTTCCATTGACTGGATATGCCCAACAATTGTCAACAAGTTTGCTTCTGGCATCTTTTCAATGATAGCTGATACAACTCTGCAAAGTGGCAGGTATCACCAGTGCTATGAATCACCATAAAAAATCAGGGCGTGTTTCATTGAATTAAATAGGCTCCGCATCAGGACTTCAGTAAAAAAATTTTTTTTTTAAATTACGTAGCAATGCCCCACAAGGCAACTCTAAATCCAGTCTTATAAGACTGCAACACATGCTTCTGTCTGCTGGCTACTCTGGTTTAGGAAATAATTGCTTTTTTCTTTTTTGGCATGAGAAAACCAAATAACCATTAATAAGCTGGATCCTTGGGTTTAGCTTTGACCTATGTACCTTTTCTAGATGGAAATTACAGACTATGATGTATTTAAGTAACAGTTTTTGCACAATTAAAGGGATCATCACAAAATCTTGAGGGTATCACCAAAGTCCTGCAGAAGTGGTAAGATTCAGAAAAAAAAACAAAATTTGTATTTAAAAAAAGAACTTACTATAATTCTGTTGCAAATCAGCAAATATTCTAAGGTAAAACAAATTCATTTTGTCTCTAATATATAACAAGAAACTATTTCTTGGAGGACTGAAGGATATCCTCTTAACCTGTGATAGCAAATTTGTTTGTTTTTTTCTCTTCTTAGTTAGAAAGCAATTAGATTTTCCCAATAAAAATATCCTTGTGCATATATAAACACTACTGGTAATAACGTAATTACCTTACCCAATCAAATTAAATTGCTGTCAGTTGAGTTCCCACTGCTGATTAACTTTAGTATACTTTAAATCTAAATGAAGTCTTTGGTAAAGTGCACTTAGCTATCGACAAAGGTGTCTCTATGATTCTAAAAAGCATAACAGCAATATATTACTTGCCATAATCATCCAATGTTTAAGGTCAAGGATAGCTCATACTGAACCCCTTTTATAAAACCCTAAAGAAACACAGAATTAAACTATGTTGCTTATTTTTGTGTTCCTTGTCATAACTTCTAAATGTCATAGTAACCTTTGACCCCCACACATTAAATACTGTAATTATGTAATTAAAACTAATTATGTAATTTATCTTACATATTTTTATCCTACAAGAAGCAGGTCAATTACTGCACTCATTGACCTTGGAAGATTTCACAATTTGAAGCATAACAAATAGGCTTTAAATTAATTTTGAAGTACAAATGGAAAAAGAACTGTAGATCTACAAAACTTATCAAATGAATATTATGGAAGGAACACTTAAAAATCTTTATACATTATATTTTGTAAAATAAAGCTTTTGATTATTCCATTCCTTTATGTATCTTCTATAATTACAAATATTAACATATTATTTATGGGCAAATTTTACATATAGTACCTTCCATCTGTAATTGCCTATGGCCAAACTATGTAGGAGTAGCTCCATATTTCCCTTCCTTCTGACCTTCCCAATTTCCTGTCTGCTCAAACCCTCTTTTCCTTCTTACTGTTTATTTTTATTTTATTTTATTTTTTGCTCTGCTCTGGATTTCTTTCTCTTCTTCTCTTTTTACCAAATAATATTCTCATGCCTTTTCCCTTCCCTTTTGGTCTTCTTTTTTTTTCACTTCTGTATCCCATTGTCCTAAGCAAAACCTCTTAGTAGGTTAAATATTTTCCCAGTGCAGTAGCTGCTAGTACTATTGGTCTATTCTCATACCCACCATCAGTGCTGAGTTGGCATTTCAGGAGAGGGTGTATCTCATCAGCTAATGGTTGGAGGGGCTTCTGACAGTAGTGAGTGAGCAAAGTGAATGAGGAATGGATTAGTGTGTGCTCTAGCTCATTAAGGACCAGATTGTGATTCTCTTACTCATGGAATATACCTTACATCTCAAGTAGGTTCTCTGAAGCCAACAGAATTAATTGTAGAGCAAAGCACTAGACAAATCTTTTTGTAAGTTTGCTCTGTTTATGTTTGCTATGTATGGAAATCAACTTGCACTTTTACAAAAACCAGTTAAATTCGAATTCAAGGTAGCTGTAATTCTGTGTCAAATGCTGAAAAATAAATATGCCAAAAAAGAATTTTTTTACAGATACATCTTTGGCTGTGTCTAGACTGCAGGGTTTTTTCGAAAAAAAGTAGCCTTTTTCGAAATTAAATCGAAAGAATGCGGCTTTTCTTTTGACAGCGGTACTCCTCATTTCACGAGGAAAAACGCCTTTTTTCGAAAGTGCTCTTTTGAAAAAAGGCGTTCTTGAATGCAAACAGGGCTTTTTTGAAAGAGAACATCCAGACTGCCTGAGTGCTCTCTTTCGAAAAAGCGGCTTGCTTTTTCGAAAGTAGTGCTTGCAGTCTAGACACTCTTTTTCGAAAGAGGCTTTTTCGAAAGTATCTTTCGAAAAAGCCTCTTTCGAAAGAGGCTTGCAGTCTAGATGTAGCCTTTGGGAATTCATTAGCTATATAAGACACACCATCTTCTTTTGTATTCTCACCTTGGAAGAGGCTGACCACAGTGAGGGACCTAATGAATGGATATCAGTTAACCTTTGAAATAATAGGAACCAGGATCAATGAACTCAGAATGGAAAGTTATAACAAATCTGACTGCAGCAACAAACCATGAAATGAATCTGATTTTTATAATGATAAAGTACTATAAACCTTCTAGACAACAGATCAAAGGAAAATAACATATAGAACCTCACATAGAAGAAAAAGAATTTACAAATGGTACTATTGAAAAATACTGGATTAGAGGAATTGGGACAGAATCCTACAAATGGCCAAATAGCAGCAGGAGCTCAGCTTCTAAAACAGCAGGATTCAGTTCTTTCCAGCCGTGAGTGACATAATACAGGCAAAACAAGGGCATGTTTAGCTGATGGATGAATGCTCTGGAAAAAGAAACTTATGTGGAATTTATGGGTGATTTCTCTAAACCCGTCATAGATTTTGGAAGATTATGCTTTATATGGATAACATGGCAGCACATTTTTAAGAGAGAAACAAAGAAGAGGAATCTGAATGTGGGATTCATATGACTATATGCTGAAACTGCTGCATCACAAGGCTAAAGTAAAAAACACTTGGGATACTTTGCATGTTGTAGGAGAGTGTCTTCAACCTTTTGCTGGACAATTCTCTGTATTTCAGTTTGAATATATATGCAAATATTAGTCCAAAACAACTGAGTTATCTGGAATGAATCAATAACAGAGCATCTATATAATTTTTACTGATTATTCATGTATTTTGTGTTATAGTATTCATGGCAATGAATATTTAAAAAGTTCTGCCAGGAACAGTTTTGCATTTGCAAAAAGACGAACTAGATAACCTTACAGTTCTTTGGCCTGGTCTTAGACAGAATGCGTAGCTGCATTCGGCTTACCTTAAGCCAAGCCCGTGCAGCGTCCACATTGTGGGAGCACACGTTCCTGTCGACTTCCCTTGCTCCTCGCAGAATGAGGATTAATGGGTTTACATTAGACCTGCTAATCAAATGCTAGATCGACCTCCAGAAAGGTTGATCCATAGGCCTCTGAGTCTATGAAATTTTACTTTTCTTATAAACTATTTTTACTCGGAACAATCTCAAAATGTTCCATTTGGAGGCTGAGATTTCACATGCTTTGTCCCATGCCAAATGCGGAGTGTTTTTTTGTTGTTGTTTTGTTTTTTGTTTTTTAAGGAAACTCGAAGAAAATCCCATTCAGATGGTTTTGAGTTAAATGAGAAAATTCTGCTTACAAATTTCAAATGGCTGTTCCCACTCACAACTAAAGTATTATAGTACTTTAAATAAATGTATCTAGTTCTCAAGTAATAGCTGTTTTAATAAGGTTGGAAAATTATCATTCCAAAGGCAGCAAGATTCCCAGGATCCTGGCATGGGCAACAGCCACTTCTGCATCACAATCTGTCCCTTCTCTGGTTGTCTGGAAAACTGCAGGATGCAAGGTTTCAAGATGAGAGGGTTGGTGGAAAAACTACAGAGATGGCATCACCTGTAGTTCTGTTTAATCCTTGTTAGCATCAACTTATACAATTTTCTTCCCCATAATTTGGAAATCATCCTTAAGAGTAAATGGATTCAACATGAGCCACTCGGAAAGGGAAAAGAGGCCATGCAGAGAAGATCTAAACCCCGGTAGAAAGGCATTGGTTATCTATGTAAATAACAGGTTTGGAGGATTGGAACTCTAGGCAGAGCTAGGAATAAAAGTCAGGTGCTTCACCTCTTGTTTACTCTACTAGTCAATATGGCTTTCCTGCCAATCATGGTACTGAGTACTTTACATCATTACAGGGAGTGTGACTACTTAAACATGTGAATGTATTGTGCATTTACAGCATGTACGGTGCAAAGCAATTTTGTAAAAGCTTATTAAGGCATTATAATCTGCTAAAAAAATCGATGTTCTGTGAATATTTGCTTTTTGGCCTTTCCCCCAACCCTTTTCCCTATCAAGTGATGGAGAACAGCTAGAATGGGCAAACATTCTAAAGAGAAGAGATTTTTTTTCCCTTTTGAAGGTATTGCTTGCATGTTATTATATTTACATAAAGGATTTTCATTTTTCCATATATATAGTATTGTGCTATACTATGTGAATATTCTATAGCTACCTCCTCTCTCAAAATGCAGAACAGAATTATGCTCACTGTCATTCATTTTTTTTCTAAACAAAGAATTGATGCAAACCTATTTTTGTTTGGTCTCCTTTATGATGACAGCAATTAATTCT